CACACTTCTAAGACGACCACTGCCTTGCTAAAGAAGCTTAGGGTAAAGGTGATGGACTGGCCAACCATGTTTCCAGACCTAAACCCTATTGAGCATCTGTGGGGCATCCTCAAACGGAAGGTGGAGCACAAGGTCTAACATCCTCCAGCTCCGTGATGTCATCATGGAGGAGTGGAAGAGGACTCCAGTGGCAACCTGAGAAGCTCTGGTAAACTCCATGCCCAAGATGGTTAAGGCAGTGCAGGAAAATAATTGTGGCTACACAAATTATTGACACTTTGGGCCCAATTTGCACATTTCACTTAGGGGTGTACTCACTTTTGTTGCCAGTGGTTTAGACATTAATGGCTGTGTGTTGAGTTATTTTGAGGGGACAGCAAATTTACACTTTTATACAAGCTGTACACTCACTACTTTACATTGTAGCAAAGTGTCATTTCTTCAGTGTTGTCACATGAAAAGATCAAATATTTACAAGAATGTGAGGGGTGTATTCACGTCTGTGAGACAGCATGAGAATCTGCTAAGGTCATAAAAGGCTCTGCTATGCACCACTTAATGTTCTCCCCTTCTCTATGGAAGTCGTGTTTCATCCAAAGAACTTCCTCAGGAAGTTATCAAGAAGTCCACTGGGTGAAATGTGTTAAGGGTGGGGCTACATTTGAAGTCAGACACCCATTATCAATCCTGAGCGTTTGGTATCCCTGGTAGCAATGAATAACCATTTTAAAAGGAGGCATATACCAAGGCTTCTTGAATGTAAGTGGTTATAATTCAATAACGCATTTTATTGGGTACTATGTATATGTGAATATCCTTGTGTTTATACATGAACTGTGATGTTGAACTGTAGAGCAATCATGTGAACTAGAGCGAAAAGGTAAATAGAATGGGAGACCATTGAGTAATGCATAGCAAAGACTGAATATGAGATTATAATATGGTAATGAGAATTTGGTGCGTGAGTTGCACTAAAAGCAATGTTTGGCACAGAAATGGATGGCATTTTGAAGGAGACTGTACAGTAATACACACTCTGGATGAAGATTTACTGTGGAAAATGGATGGAATTTGAATTTCTGTTTCATCAAAACTTATATGCACTTTGAGAATCACTGGGCATTTTTGTTTTTATTTAGGGGTGATAGAACATTACATATAGGCACTGGTTAATATACTGTATATATTTGTGTAAATGCAGAGAATGCATTAACACACCTGAAGCCTTTACAGCCACTTTAAACCTGCATTATAACTCACATTGATTGGAAAGAAGCGAAGATTAACTGAACAGATTTTCTTTTAAAGCAGAACTTCGCTCTCTCAAATCAACATTGACTAGTTTAAATCCCATCAAGGCATCAACAGCAAGGCTCCTACTTTCTATTCATCACACATCTGCACCAGAGGCTGGTCATCAGCTCTGAGGAAAGGGATTCATCCCCGAAACGCGTCAGCCATTTGACCGCACTGACAGTGAGAACACCTTTCCTGCCGTTGTGGCCATTGTCATTTTTCTATGCTTTTTAGATACATGCTTCGTCTGTGAGTATGTTTTTATTATTCTTTCACTCCTTACAATAAACCTTGGATAATGCACTAGGTGTGTGCGCCACCTGTTTTCTCTCTATCCAGTGGCTGATTTCCCCGTCTGAGGAGGGCTGCACCCCTGAAGCATTTCCTTTGGTTGTTGCTGTTCTGGTTCCCTTGGCTTCCCTTTTGGCTGTGCATATCCTGAGGTGCTGGAGAGTACATACGATATCTGGTTCGGTAGTTTAAATCCCTACACTGCTAGCATCAGTAGATAGAAATGTAGATCATAGTTACTCATTTTAAACTTTTTTTTACATTTCTTCCTAGTTTCCATGCCTAGGCAAATTATGTCATACATCCCAGGAGTCATTCACAGTGATTTCTCAGCAAAATAAAGCAAGAAGACATGGATAGATGGGCCAGTTTGCTTTCAATAATAAAAATTAAACAGCGTTTTTGATTTGTGGTGCTCAGATGAAGTGTAGTTCTGCTTTAAGTTCTTTAGTGCTCCTTTTCCAGTTGGGCAGCTGCAGGATTGACTCTACTGACAGGACCCTACACAGGCAGATCACTTTCTATAAGTAGACTCCCCGCAGCTGGGAGCTCAGTTAGCAGCTTGGATTGGCAGTCTCTGGTGCTTATTACATTTGGACTCTGCTACTGGGATGTGACCAGCACTTCAGGAGTCAGTGTGCAGGTAAAGACTGGCAGCCTGTGCACTGGCAGTCTCTGTTCACATTTACACCGCGCTGATGCAGCTAAAACATAAAAAAAAAAAAAATTACTGTGTACAGGCTGCTGATTAGGAGCTGTTGCAGCTGCGTTTGCCTGGTGCCCAACACACAGCGGACTGCCTATGGTGGGCTGGCAGCCACATGTTGGGTACAAGGGCTCTAGTGGATCAATTGATCAGTTACAAGCCTGTGAGCTGATAAGCTACTACAGAACTTGTGAAAGAGCAAGTATACTGTATTCATGGCGTTCTCTTATGTTGCCCCTTTTGGTCTGTTAAAACCTGTTGAAAGCATTTTGTTATATCGGATTGATATGTGCAAAAATTACCTTTTGATCCTGCCTGAACATGTGAGCTAATAACGTCTTGTGCTCTCTTCCTGTCTTGACTGTTCTCCGCTACTTTTTTTAAGCTACCACTAGTGACTATAGGACCGCACCCTTCTATGTTATGGAGATAAGCATAGGGGCAGAGTCCAGTAGTTTTATCCTGTTTATGTTGTCTTGATACAGCAGGGTGAATACACATTACTGTCTTAGGACTGAAGGGCCTACAGTATTATTCCAAATCTAAAAACTGGTAAGCTGCAATGTATTACATTTTTATTTTTGGATTTAGACGCACTTGAACTAAAAAATAAATTTTTTCCAATTAATGCAAAATATTTCTGACGAAGTCACGAGTTACGTGACGCAACGCGTCGACGGTAATAGCGTGGTGACGTACTTCCGGCGTGACGCCATCTTGGAACACCTTTTAATCATGCTGTACACCCAGCTTACTGAAGTGATCTGGACACAGGCTGTTATGTGAGTGTATATATCTCCTTTTTTTTTGGCTTATTGCTATTTTTGCCATTAAAAGCAGTAATACACTATGAGGATTGTGTTCTCTTCTTAACCTATGAGCTTTGACATCTGAGGAGGGTGTATTTCGTTTGCCCACTGGTCCGGTTGAATACTGTTCATGTGATGACTGCCCATACCATCCTACCTGAGGAGCCACTGGTTTGAGGGATCCAGAGGTGATCTACATTTGCTCTGTGGCCCTGTGGGGTCGTAGAGTGGAGGTGAGAGGCCATTGCAGCCATACTACCTGGGATCACGTTTGGAGTGTGCTGTGATTCACCTGCACGTCTTAGTAATATGAACTGTGGACACTCTATTTTGTACTAAGCCATCGTTATCTGTTTGGTTTTTCCGGCAGATACCTACCTGGTCACCATTTAATACCTTTGGATACTAGGGGTCACTGTCTCCTTTATATCCCCATGTGGATTTGGGTCATCTGTTACCCCGTTTGCTAAAATATATATATTTTCAGTATTATATGTACAGTGGGGATCGAAAGAGGATATTGACATCTGAAAACGCTTTGCTATCTTCTTATAGCCTTCTCCAGCTTTGTGAGCGTCAACTATTTTCAGTTTCAGTTTTCTAGACAACTGCTTAGAAGAACCCATGGTGCTGATTGTTGTGGCAAGGTCAGATGAGTCTGGGCATTTAAAACCTTTGAGATTGACATCACCTGGTCTTCCCAGACGATGATTGAGAACAATCCATGACACTGGCAGGTCTCAGCTTGGCAAAGGGGGCAGTGCATGCTATAAATTCTGCAGGGTGCCCAAACTTTTGCAGATGCCATTTTTTTGTTTTCTGTTATTTTGAAAGTGTAAATGATGGAAATAAAATCTAACTTTTGTTGACATATTATAAGAATGTCTAATCTGTAATTTGATGCCTTTTGGAGATTTTTCCATCTTACCTTGGCTTCTTTATGCACATTAATACACATTTTTAGCTGGGGTGCCCAAACTTTCGATCCCCACTGTATATTATTCTTTGAGTGTTTTTTATTATTAGCGCTGCATCACTTTTTATATGTGTTTCTATTATCGCCCTTATTTGGTGTGGGATAGATGCTGGCTGCTTTTTAGTTAAGTGTATCATTTACCGTAAAAGCGCAGGAGGATATATTTTTGTTATTTATTAATGCAAAATATTTGCTTATTTAAATCCAATCTGCGGTATAAAAAACCCAAAACCAAAAATGGAATATATTGCCGCTTGCCAATCATCAGATGTGGTAGCAGTTTAGTCTTTTGTAGGCTTTTTCCCTTTGATTTCACCTTGTGATCTGGCCACTAACTCATCTCCTGTAATAGAGTGCCCCCACTCTGGATGAAGGAGCACATGGGCACCTTTAGACAGCAGCATTGCTTATCTGGGGAGAGGGGAGTGTTCGATGGACTAGCAGATTTAGATACACTAACACATTGAAGCCAAATTTCAGCTAATACTTTGTATGCAGTTTCAGCAAGAGTTTTTTTCTCCTTTGGGAGTGAACACAGCATTTCAGTAATTACATACAGATTAGCTGCAAGCACTTTGCCTTCCAAATATTGCGTTTTTGGAAGTTCTTTTCACATTAAATAAATGTAAAAAAAAACGTGAATGGAAAACAAAGTTACAAACCTCAGAGGTAAACATGGCCATTTTGTTTTATAAATAAGAGGTATACTGATAATAAAAACATTGACTGCCTCAAAAATGACTGATCTAGTCTTATTGTCTTCATTCTTATGTTGGCTTTTTTCCTGCCATAGACAAAGATCACAGTGTATTGATCAGCATATGAAGAGATTTAACCTCTACTTGCAGTTATACCATAAAGAATCTGAAGGTTTGATTTTGCTGTACAAAAGCATTCATTATTTTCAATCTGACCACATTACCTGTTGTTCCAAGCTTGTAGCATCTCACAAAGGGACTGCTTCTTGATGATCATTGATTCAAAGACAGATTGAAGCTGTTGAGGGGTATCAATGTTTGATGACAGCATCCTGGCCTGAAGTTTCTCAATCCAGTTCCTAAACTCAACCTCCTCCATCTGGAAAGGAGAGGATGAACCAGGACAAATAAGGAAAATTCTGTCACAAACAATATGCATCTCTTCTCAAAAACTATTTGCTTAGTAGAATAAACTGTAGAAGAATGAAAAAAAGCAGATCTGAACCTAGTTGCTTAACAAAATACATGAACCTCTATAAATGCTTTCATAAATGTTTTCATGTAAACCACTCTATTCTGCCTCTGAATAGAAGGCAGCGGGGAATTTCACACAATGCCTGTGAAGAATGAATGCGCCATGTCTTGTAGATATACAGTATTCTAGCATCAAACACAATAGAGATGCATATGGTGCCTAAGGGGCATAGATGCTTCATTTGGGTGATATAAAATTTACTATACAAATAGTTCTTGCATGTGAAATTGACAACAAAAAGAGAACCACAATATTTAAAAGGATAAGTTCACCTTTTATTTACCTTTGTTACACCCATATTCATCCCATTTCTGCATTCCCCTGAAATATTCCTGAAAGGATGGTGTCACACTCAGCAATGCAGAAGGCAGGAGTGATGTAAGCATCAATCTATCTTTTTTTTTTCTTTATCAGCACATTTTGCACCTATCAGCAGGTTACTTTTAGGGCTTGTGTCGACAGTTTTATTTTCTCATAAAAGAATATGGGAATTCAAATGTGCCTGTATGCCCCCAGTGGGAGTGTTACATCATCAGTCTGCCTCTCAGCCAATCAGAGGAAGCTTTGTATTAAATTTACAGAATACAAAGTTGCCTATGAATGGCTGTGTGACTCTTAGACTTCCTGTATCAAAACTGGAACAATGCAGAGTTGGTCTGTCTCACAGCCAAAACCCAGCACTGTGTGCTTATATACAGTTGTGTTCAAAATAATAGCAGTCAGACGTCACTAACCTGATCAATCACTGTTTTTGGTAGAAATGATATTTCTACATGGCAAATAATTTACTAGCAGGTGTAGCAGAGTAATAGAAATCCAACAGACCCAACAGTCATGACATGCATGCTGCTGATTCTGTGTAATTGAATCACGAATTGAAAGGGGCATGATCAAAATAATAGCAGTGTGGAGTTCTATTAGTGAGGTCATTCATTCTTTGAAAAACAGGTGGCAATTATTGCCCTTATTTAAGGAAGGAAGGCAGCAAATGTTGTACATGCTGGTTACAGTGCATTTCTCTCTGAAATTCTGAGGAAAATGGGTCCTTCCAGACATTGTTCAGAAGAACAGCGTACCTTGATTAAAAAGTTGATTGGAGAGGGGAAAACATATAAAGTGCAGAAAATGATAGGCTGCTCAGCTAAAATGATCGCAAATGCTTTAAAATGGCAACCAAAACCTGAAAGACGTGGAAGAAAGCGACAAACTACCATTTGAATGGATAGAAGAATAGCCAAAATGGCAAGGACTCAGCCAACAATCAGCTCCAGGAAGATCAAAGAAGGTCTAAAGTTACCTGTGAGTACTGTTACAATTAGAAGACGCCTATGTGAAGCCAAGCTATCTGCAAGAAGCCCCCGCAAAGTCCCACTGTTGAAAAAAAGACGTGCTGAAGAGGTTACAATTTGCAAAAGAGCACATTGACTGGCCTAAAGAGAAATGGCGTAACATTTTGTGGACTGATGAAAGAAAGATTGTTCTTTTTGGGTCTAGTGGCCGGAGACAGTTTGTCAGGCGACCCCCAAACACTGAATTCAAGCCACAGTACACTGTGAAGACAGTGAAGCATGGTTGCGCAAGCATCATGATATGGGGATGTTTCTCATACTACGGTGTTGGGCCTATTTATCGCATACCAGGGATCATGGATCAGATTGAATACATCAGAATACTTGAAGAGGTCATGCTGCCTTATGCTGAAGAGGAAATGCCCTTGAAATGGGTGTTCCAACAAGACAACGACCCCAAACACACCAGTAAACATGCAACATCTTGGTTCCAGACCAACAAGATTGACGTTATGGAGTGGCCAGCCCAATCCCCGGATCTTAATCCAATAGAAAACTTGTGGGGTGACACAAAAAAAATGCAGTTTCTGAGACAAAACCAAGAAATAGAGAAGAACTGTGGAATGTAGTCCAATCATCCTGGGCTGGAATACCTGTTCACAGGTGCCAGAACTTGGTTGACTCCATGCAACACAGATGTACAGCAGTTCTCAGAAACAGTGCTTATAAAACGAAATATTAATTAAGTGTTTCAAAGGAAAGCAAAATCTTCAAACATTTTTCAGTTTATATCGTGAATGTTTGAGTTTGTAAAGAAGAATACAAACACTGCTATTTTTTTGAACAGTCTAATATTCACTTTTCTTAGAGGAACAACACAAATTTGATATATTTTTCTTCATGTTTTGATTTGGAATAGAATGTGTCGTGTTCCCAATGCATTTGTGTGTATTAGAAAAATTTTGAGCTTTATTCACTTTTTTCAACACACTGCTATTATTTTGAACACAACTGTAGCTGAAGATGCATGCAGCACATACACTGTTTAAAGCCAATGCAGCAGTCAGTGAAGGAAATGGTTAAAGTCACAGAAAGCCTGGGAGATCAGTGTTAAAAGAAAAGGCCAATAAAAGTCACAGTGTCACCTAAGGAGCCCTATGACCAAAACTGGCATCAGCAGAGGCCTTAACATCCACCTGGTAAAACGTAAAGTGGTATTAAATCCAAAATTGTAATATATTGCAGCTTACCAACAAGCAGATGTGGTGGCTGCATTAGTTTTTTTTTTAAGCTTTATTCCCTCTGTTTTTACCTAATGATCTGACCAGTAACACATCTCCTATATTAAAAGAACCCCCATTCTGTATGAAGAAGCACAGGGGACAGCAGCAATGTCATTCTGAGCAGAGGGGAGTGTTAGATGGACTAGCAGTTTTTTTTAAATACACAAAACTATTGAAGTCAAAAGTCAGCTAATACTTTATATGTAGTTGCAGCAAACAGTTTTGTTCCCTTTGGGATATTTTGACATAAATAAAAGCTAAACATTTTAAGTACCCCTGTCATTGTTAAATGGTTCGTATCATCCCTGTAAGTGTCACATCTGCAGGAGAGCTTGTTCTTTTTAAAAACAAACTTGCTGGCTAAAAAAAAAATAAAAAGACAAAAGAAAACGAATGCAGCAATCACATTACAGATTTAGTACGCCGCAATAAAATAAAATGTTTGCTTTTGGGTTTAATACCACTTTAATGAATGTGTGAACGAACGACCAGGTGGCAGCCTTGCAAGTCTGAGAAACAGATGCACCGATACTGAAAAGCTCAGGAAGCACTAACTGATCTACTGGAATGTGCTCTGACAGGGAAAGGCGACACCTTACAATGTCTCCTTCAGGAACCCTCAGAAATGATAAAAATGTCAGAATATTGGTCTGTCTGTTTAAGACAGCTGAGAGATAGACAAGAACAGTCTGTAATACATCAAGACTGTGGAGGGAAATCTCCTTGGATGCCAAGGAGCAAGGCAAATATGAGAACATAATGTTCTGGTTGAGGTGAAATGAGGAAACACTGAGGAAAAGAGGCCTTAAGCCTCAAGACAAAATGTGTCTCCATGTTTTACAAGAAAGGGTACTTTACAGGATAATGTTGCTAACATGGAAGCTTGCTTCACAGCAGTGATGGCAATGACGACGGAAACCTTGTGAGTGAGTGAAGGTGTGTAGTAGGGGAATATCCCTGATAGGTTCAAAGGGTGAATGGAAAGAACCAGGCTTAGATCCCATGGAGCTACTAGCAACTATATAGAATGTTATCAGGTAGTATTAGGTCGATTATTAAATCATTATAGCCACTAGAATTAAAATGCATATGTGTGTTTAAAACATGCAAATACACACAAATTACGCTGAAAATCTCTCTAAATGCAGTTTTAGAGCTTTTTTGAATGCTACTCTAAAACATGCTACGTTCACACTAGCCTTGTGTGCAGGCGGCAGAGAGACGTTTGGTAAGCGTTTTTACCGCTTCCCAAACGCCTCTGCCAATTCTGCACATTACAGCACATGGTGCTGTTCTAACGGGAGCGTTTGCGTCGCGGCAAAACGGACGCCTCTGGACGAGTCAGGAGGCTTTGAAGCCTCCTATTCTCGTCTATGGTGCCGCTCCGCAAACGCCCGGCCGGCGTTTGCGGTGCGGTTGCGACGCGGTTGCGGGGCGTTTGCGGAGCGGTACCCCACTCAAACTGCATTATAGGCGTTTGTGGGGCGTTATTAACGCTCGGCAAACGCCTAGCAACCGCCGCTAAACCGCGCATGCGGCGTTTGCAGCGTTTGCCGAGCGTTAATAACGCTCCGCAAACGCCGGACCAACGCTTGCCAAAAGCTATAGGGGCGTTTGGCAAGCGTTGGCAAAACAGCCTAGTGTGAACGAGCCCTAAAACATGTCAGGAAACAACACAATATGCATATGCACATTAGATAACAGAGCTGCATTTAGAGCCATTAAAAAAAAAATGCCAGGCGCCTGTAACAGTGGCATTTTTTAAGCCCATGTACATGGGGCCTAAGTAGTGAGAAAACAAACTCTTTGAAAAAGAATCTCTAGCCCTGTGACCAAAAGGGTCACAACAGGAGTCCCAAATGTTAACCCCTGAGGAAAAGAACCCAATCTAGTAAAAGCACAGCCAAACTCCCTGCAGAAAGCTCCCCTGACTTATCACAGCTGAGGTTGTAGAGAGCAAGCCCATACAGACACATTGGCAATAGAGAGGCAGGACCCAGGTGACCTGCCCCTTCAAAAAAGCCTTCTCCTGCTCAGCTGACAGTCTCTGAGGGGTCGATTTACTAAAAATATAGGAGTACAAAATCTGGTGCAGCTCTGCAAAGAAACCCATCAGCTTCCAGCTTTTTAAGTCATTGCTTAATTGAACAAGCTGAATGGCTACCTT